ATCTCCTTTGTCTTTCAGCAGTTATAGAATAGAAAACCCTGTACTCCCTGTCTGCTTTTCATACCTAGTTAATCTAAATCACTTTTGGCAGGGTGGGGGAGGAACCAAAACATGGAATTATTTTATTTCTAGTGTTGAGAAATATTATAGCCAAGATACGATTTAAGAGAAACAAATCACTTCATCAGCTTCTCCATGAAGTTCCCTTCTGGTGAATGGGTTCTGGAGCTGGGCATTTGACATACACATCAGCAGTGCTTTGTTCAGAAAAAAAGCACAGTTGCAGCCATGATGTTGGCATGTCTTTATGGCCTCTGTAAGCTATGGTGCTGTCTTTTGTCTTCCATTGGCAGAAATATAATCAGAAGGCCTTGTTCTCAACGGAAGCCAAATGATTGCCAAATCTGCTCAACTGATCTCTGGAGAATCAGAGTTAGCCAACGGCCCTTAGGCTGTTCTCTTTGCCACTCCCAGGAGGTGGAGACTTAAAGTTTCCCCCTTCTTTTGAAAGAGGATCAAGTTTGGTTCCACTAAGCTTTTCTGTCATCCCCAGGAATACAAGGAGAGAGACCTTCCCTGACCCTGGTTGCTGGCTCAGACCACCTGTGGTTTGCTATAATTTAGGAAGTCATTGTAATTCATAGAGCCAGGTAGAAAATAAACATCTTGGCAGGGCTGAGTTTCAGGACAGTCTGAAGGGAACCAACGCATGAGTAGAATGATATTGGGAACATTTCTAGTCTCTGCTTGCAGCTCTTGTTTCTAATAGATGATTCATAATGGTATAATTCTGATTTGGAATGTGCAGGCAGACAGTCATTATTATGTATACACGTCGCTGAAAACATCATCGCTTGGGCACAGGTTTTAGATTTCCCCTGGATGGGTCAGTTACCCATGGTAGACAAATACTGTAGGTAAAAAGAGCATGGTCCTACTTACTATGTTGTGTGATTAACTTCAGATTGTTTATATTCCTAGGGAAATTTGTAGCACTAATTATTTTTTGAGACATACACTCTTGCCGAGATAGAATAAAAGAACCTAAGAGTTGAAAGAGACCGTAGGTTATTTCATGCCATTTATATTTTTATTCTACAGTACTTATTGATTGCCTGTTATGTCTCGAACACTGCTCCATCCAGAGAATGTGAACAGACTAGTGCAGAGATAATAAGTATGGCAGCAACAAAATAAATGAGGTGATTTCAGATAGTGATAAGGACTATCAAGAAAGTAACAGGGTAATGAGATAGAGTCTGGCTCAAGAGAGGGGACTGCTTACAGGGTGGTGACAGAAGGCCATCTGAGCATGGGGTTGAAAGTGTGGGTACATCTAGGGACTAGATGCTGTTGGATGAATCTTTAAAGTATTTGCAAATGATCATTCATTCATTTAATTAATAAAATATTTATTGAGCTCCTCTGCATGCCAGGCATTGTTCTCAAAACTGGGGATGAAGCTGTGAACAAGACAAAGAACACTGCCCTACTGAAGATTTTTATCAGTCCTCAAATCAGTCAGTGTTTCAAGGGTCCAAGAAGTCAATTAACTTAAATCCTTCATTTTATTATTTTTTTTATTTTAACTTTTTTTGTATTTACCATACTACCTGAAACTTTATTTTTTTTTATTTTTAGACAGACTCTCACTCTGTTGCCCAACCTAGCCTAGAGTGCAGTGGCATCATCATAGCTCACTGCAACCTCAAACTCCTGGGCTCAAGTGATCCTCGTGCCTCAGCCTCCAGAATAGCTGGGACTAAAGGAGCAAGCCACCACACCTAGTTAATTTTTCTGTTTTTTTTTTTTTTTTTTTTTTTGAGAAAGGGTCTCCTCACTCTTGCTCAGGCTGGTCTTGAACTCCTGGCCTCATGCAGTCCCCCCACCATGGCCTTGCAAAATGCAAGGATTACAGGCATAAGCCACCAAGTCCACCCTTAAATCCCTAATTTTATTGGTAAAGGAATGTAGGCCCAGTGAAAAAATGCTTTGCATAGGACTCACTGCTGGCCTCTCCTTAGCAAGGCTAGAACACAGCCCTGGGCTTCTGGTTCATTTCTCTTTGTCACCAAATCATACAGGGTCTCCATAAACATCTATTTCAACAATTTTAGTTTCAAGTAGTGCTGGGATTAGTTAGCATTGTGACCCAAAGATAACTTTTTTATTTTCCCATCAAGGACTCTGTGTACTCTAAAGGTAACATAATTGAGGGTTGTCAAGATGGTGATTCACAGGCACAGGCACCAGGGGCTTAGCTGGGCCTTCATTGTAGTTAATTCAAGAAAATGGACCCTGCCAAGTAAATGCAAACTATACAGCATAGACCATAAACTACTCCGTATGCGCCCTAAATGCATGATATGTAACTGCTCCATCACTTAATAGGTCTTCTAGGTATGTAAATTAAAACATATATATATTAAAAAAGAAAAATACTCTTGAAAACAAAACAACAAGGAGGAAAGAAAAAAATCTGTATTTTCTTAAATTCAATATTCAAACAATCGTGGGTACTTGTGTGTGTGACTGTCAACTTTTCTCCAATAGTAAGAGTAATGGAAAATAGGTTCAGTTGGTTAGTCAGAGACTAATGAACCAAGACTTTAGGGTCAATCCTTACTTGGAGTAATTCTTCCCAGAGAAAAGAGCTTTATAACAATATCTTTACATCTCTTTACATTCTTAGAGAGTGCTTCTCACATTCCTTATCTCATTTAATTCTCACATTTCTGAGAGGTAGGTAGGGCAGAATATTTAGTATCTCATTCTGTAGATGAGAAAATTGACAGTCAAATAGTTTACAAAATTTTGTTCAAGGTGCTGTAAAATTCCAGCTAATCTGAAAAGTGACTGCCTTCGTGAAACTGGTCTGAGTGTCTATTAATAACCTCTGTTTACAGGTTGCTGTTAGCAGGAGTCGTAGAAGCTGGACCTAAGATATCATAATGTGAGGCTTTGGCTAAGATTAGCTCCTCTGAATTCTTTGCCAGGGGGACGCTATATTTATCAGTGTGCAATAATCTTATTTTGACGTGGCAAAAACCCAAGTAATGTAATACACTCATCCTAATGATTTTTCATTGGCAATGTAAATAATTGTGTTAATTGTGTCATATTCTTATTAACAAGGGTCAGTACACCAAAGAGAAGTTTTGGCACTCTACAAAGGACCTAGTGAGGGGCTGAGAAAAGAGTACTGCATGGAAACCATGTCATCTGGGTCCTGAACTCGGCTCTTTCACAAAATAGTATGCAATAGCAGGCAAATCAACTTCCCTGAATGCAGTGTCCTAGTATATAAGGTGAGGATTGGACAAGATGGTTTAAGAAATTTTTTCAAGCTCTATGAAACTATGTATTTATGAGAGGCTATGGGACAGCAGCATGCTAAAGATTAATAACTACATTCAGCGTAATTGCCATTATATGGAATGAGATAGATTATCTGAGAAACTTAATTGCAAAACAGTGTAAAATAGAAGAAAGAGCCTCTTTGTCTCTGGACTTAGAAAACACAGGTTCAAATCCTGACCACTTTATAGTCACATGGCATATAGTGGGGATAAGAATTCCACCATTCTACATACTATACCGGATTGTTAGAGCTTAAATGAGGTCCTTAAATGAGGTCCTGTTTGTGTACACTTAGTAAACTTTTAGTATTTTACCAAGTCAAGGTGTTAGGTTTTGTTTTTGGTGCACAAAGAAACGTAAATTACTTTTATTAAGAACTAAGAAGTTTATGGACTTGAGATATAATAAGGTTTACACAGACGAGAACAGCTTTTTCACAAAACTCTCAGGAAAGCAGGGGAAGTCACTTAGGAATCCAGAAGGCATTTTATGTTATGACATTATCCAGTTATCCCAGACTACTATGTACAGAATTCCTTAGATAATCCATTTAAGGAAAAATATAAAATATAGGAGAATTGATTTCTCCTATATAAAATATAGGAGAAAGGAAAAAAATCTATAGAAATGTAGTGCTTAAATTTAGTAATTTAATTAAATGATTAAGGGGTGCCAAGTTAATTGAATATATGTCCTAGCTCCTTACAATATGTATAGCGGAATTATATAAAACTCACAGTTCTTATGTAGCCAGGCACTGGATACTTGGTTTCATATATGTGAACTCATTTAATCCTCACAACATTTCCATCTCATTTAGTAGATAAGGAAACCAAAGGCAGAGAGGTCAAGACAATTGCCTAGACTTTTGAACCTAGGTCACTTTTTAAATAATTTATCATTGATTCTCTTGTTGTATATGGCAGACCTTCTGCTCTGATTCCTAAGTTAATAAGTCCTAACATGACTATACCTTGAAAATGTTGTGAAGGCAAACCTATGATTTGATTTGGCTTGGAAGGAAAGGAATTCTATTCTTTCTTCCTCCTCAGGATAGTGCAAAGGAGTTCTCTGATATGTTAATTTTGCCCCTGACATGAAGGTGTGACATACAGTCATCAAATCTTACTCCCCTTTCTTTTCCTTACCCCACGTTTCCTAAAGGTCATAAAGCATTCAAGAGAAGTGCTTTGGAAGACTCAGCATGACACACAGGTTACACATTTTAAGGTGAAACTTCACCTCTCTAGGCATTAAGATCTAGATAAAGTAAATGTCCTATAATCAAGATTTTCTTTTCTGATTTACTAAAGCTTAGATCACAATCCCAACCTTGGTGCTTAAGAATAAATAACAGGGCATTATTTAGTTTGTAAGGAATGTAATCTATGGGCCAGGCGCTTTGGCTTATACCTGTAATCCTAGCACTTTAGGAGGCTGAGGTGGGAGGATCACTTGAGGCCAGGAGTTTGAAACCATCCTAGGCAACATACAGAGTTCCTGTCTCTACAAAAATAAAAAAAATTAGCCAGCCGTGGTGGCACGCATCTATAGTCTCAGCTACTCCGTAGGCTGAGCTAGGAGAATTGCTTGAGCCCAGGACTCTAAAGTTGCAGTGAGCACTCAAGCCAGGGTGACAGAGCAGACCCTGTCTCCAAAAATGAAAAAAAAAAATGTAATTCATGGCTCATGGAAAAAATTGAATAAAATGGCCTAATTGCCCTGAATTGTTTTGTCGTTTCTGTTGGCTTTTTATTTCTTTGGTTTTAGGGCATATTTCTTAATTTTAAAGCCAGTTTATTATATTCCAAATATAAACCGAATTTTTTTTTTCCAAATTCTATACTAATAGTAATACGCACGTCTTGTTTGTGCTGCTTTGACACATGTGCTCCTCTGGCAGTGTTGAGTTCCCCTTCACTAGTGCTGCCCGAGACACAGACTCTGTTACAGTATTCCTCCTGTGAACTGAATTTTGTTTCAGTGCAGGCTTAGCTGAGACTCCTCTCAAAGAGGATTAGATAATGAAGAACTCTTGTTATATTACAACATTAATTCCAAAAAAATGTTAAAATAAGGTTTTTTTAAGCACCAGCTCAAATCCCACCTAGAATAGATTCCTAGAGTCATTAACCAGCACTACCCTGCCCACTCTCTCACCATTCATAAGTAATTACTCTCTTCTCTTTGTTCCCATCATACATTACTCATGTCTCATTAATAGCAATTTGTTGTACCCTTTCACTTGAATCAGTTATTTATAGATGTGTCTACCTCTCCCCCTACATTGGGAACCTTTGAGGACAATGATGGCATCTTTGTCTTCTCTCTTCCTCTGTACCTGCATAGCTGTTAAACACTTTGATTCACTCTCAGCTTTCTACAATACTAGTGTAAGTGAGGAGGCAGCTCTTATTTCCCATCAGAGAAGCATATGAAAAGTTTGTTTAAAGGGAATTTGTAAGAAAGCTGTGGTAATATAGGCACTAACTGCAAAAGGTTGTGTTCAAAAAGATTGGCAGAAGTCAACAAAAAAATTAAAGTTCTTTTACTGCATTTTCAGTTATGAGTTTCGTGGCTGTCCTTGTGGAGGGCAGGCATGACATCAAAAGAAAATACATTTTAGAGATAGGATGTCATCTAATAAATTGTTTCAAAACTTTTTCTATCAGGAAAAATTAAAGCTTTCATCTGTAAAAGAGAAATTTTGATTCTCATTTAAAAAATCACAGTCATAAGGATGGTATGACAGTAGACTTACAATTATTTTCAGTCTGTTGTGAAGCACATATTAGATACAGGTGCAAATATACATTTAGATTAAGATAGAGATACAGGTAAAGGAAACTTTTCTTGAGAAATGCACACCTCACAAGTAGGCAGAGCTGTTGGAAGCTTTTGCACTTTGAGTTCCTTAGAACTACTGAAGTAAAATGCTATCTTTAGCTGCAAAGGAAACCCAAAAGTACTACCATCATGTAGAAGGCCTTCTTGATTAGCATAATCAAGATATAGAATAAGTTTTTATTCCATGATTAAATTAGGTAATATAATTATTTGAGTTCAAATAATGGCACTGGCATTTCAAGAGAGATTTGCTGAGTCATAGCTCTGCTCTCTTTTTACTGTCCCACATTGCTCCTGCTGGGAACCCCTGCTCTTGAGCTGTGCTCCCCGACCTTCCAGCATTTTTCACGTCACAGTTCATGTGGAAAATGATGGCATTCATTCCGCACGGTGGAATAGGTGGATGAGGCTTCTCCTGGCCCAACGTGACCACTCAGGGGCTCTGGAAACCTCTGGCCTTCCCCTCTTTTCCTTCCCACATATGGTACACCTGGAATGCACCTGTGGCACACCATGTCTTAGCCTGCCAGTTGAGAAGGTCTGGACTAGAGAATTGTTTTGCATGGTTAAAAATATATTTTTATTTTATATAAAATATATACCTGGAGTTTATTAATTCATCTACTAATCAGTATTTGTAAAGCATCACTTTTATGCAAACACACTGTTGTAGATGCCAGAGATCCAACAATGAATTTTCTCTTATCCTGTAGGAGTTTGAGAGAAAAACTGTCTTAATATTTTGTTAACTGAAAAAAATAATGAGGTTTATAATTTGGGAGAGATTTATTTCTTGTTTGCAGCCCCCTGCAGTGACCATTCCGGCAAGCTGGGACACAGGGCCACAAGCCAGGAACATATGCTTCTAGGGAGGGCGAAAGGAAGAGGATTTCACACTAAGTGGGGTGGCTGAATATACATATTAAACAAGCTATAGCAGGAGTCACAAATACTTATAAAAAGAGATCTATGCACCTACACAATGGGGCTTTTCTGCCCTTTCATGGGGTCCATGTTTAAAAATGGCCACCTTTTATGTCAAAAAGGTGAAAGAAGGATATGAAAACCCTCTTTGCACACATTCTGTGGACTGTTAAAACAGCTTCATGGTTGGTGATCTTTTATCAGGAAAGAATGCTGGTCTGGCCCTGAGGAACTAAAGCCTGATGGCCATTAGCAAGGGAGGGGTAAAATGATGCGTGCCCCACCTCCCATCATCATGGCTGAGAAATCAGTTTTAAGTTCTCTGGGGTCCCCTTTGCTGAGAGGGGTCCATTCGGTAGCAGGGGGTTAGGATTTTATTTTTAGTCCACAATCTCAATATGTTTCCTCTCTTTATTTATTTGCATATAACTTGAAGGTAATAAGACTGACTGCCTTCTATTTGCAACATTGAGTGTGTCTACTGAAATATAGAATAGGTATGGTGTGATGTAGCAGAGGGATTCTCCATTGGCCAGGAAATTAGGAGACCCGTATTCTAACTCCAAATCTGCCACTAGCTGTGTTCACTATCTGTACTTTAGTTTCTTGAACCTGGTAGTTGCAGGTGAATCACAGTTTTCAAACAGTTCAGTGTGGATCCTCCACGGGCTCCCTCCTTACACACTCTTCATCCAGAAGTGGTTTGGGGCTCTCTTGGGTGTGCTTCCTTGAAAAATTGTTTCTCTGAAAAAATGATTATGTGAAAGGGAAACAAGTAAACGGAATTGAAAACTCCTGGACTAGAGTAATCTCTAAGGACTTTGCAAGATCTAGTATTTTCAAACTCTCTCTTTTTTTTCCTTTTGATCTTATCTCAACAAGACCAAGACTGTATCTGGAACACGAGATGTCACCTGTTATCTTTCCAAGAGTCTTTCCTGCTTCACAATATTGCTTCTGTACCTAAAAAAGATAAAGATGAATATAAGATCACATTTTAATTTTATAAAATGAAAATTTTAACATTTCTAAATGGCAACAATCACTTTATAGTCTTATGAATCTTCAAATACTTATGTCTCTTGATTTTAAATATTCAGCATTGAGCATGTATATACACCTATGCAATGTGTACCTTATGGTAATACTCTTATTTTATTAATATCTCACTAGTAGTTAATGTTTGTTAGCTGTATGCTTCATTTATATTCAGATGATTCTTACATCTCTTCTGCCTATGAGTTACAAGTTATTTATACAATATCCACAGGTAGAAAAACTGCAACCACATTGTATCTCTGACTTAAAAACAGTTGCATTTGGGAGTTTTATGTACAAAGTTTGTGACTAAATTTTTATTTTCACATAACTTTTTCTTTTTAACCACAATTATATTGCCATCATTACAGAAAAGTATATAAGCTGTGCCTTTTAGCAACTGATTAATCTCTTGCTTTTATCTGCCACTCTTTTCATCTTCTCACTTTAACCATACTTTCATCAGAGTAACTACCTAACACAATTTCTATGAAAAAAAAAATCCTCAAATAGTGCCTGCTGCAAAAAGAATAAAATCTAGATTTTTCACTCAGGTTAGGCCAAAAGGCCTTCCCCAGCTGGCTACCAATTACCTCCTGTGTGTCACAGACTACGTAGGCCTGGACAAGAATGATTACTCTTGTGCGTGCTGTAATATGCTGCCCAGATCTCTGTTCAGGACTGAGGTGCTGACCGTTCATGGCTGAGTCTCTCTCTGATAATTACCCTCAACTAAAAAGAACCTCTCACCCAAGGTCACACCTCCTTCCTGGTGGCAGCCAGTATCTACTGACTGGTACATGCGGGTATACGAAGCCCTATCCTTACGCTTCCAGGAAGGACAACCCTGCAGAGACATCCCAGCTGCAGTGTTCTCCACGGAGCCTTTGTTGTAGGTGCATCCTGGCTCAACCCCTCCCTCTGCCCAGTTACTTCATTCACTTTCTCACAGGTGAACATTGCAGGGATTCTTCTCAGTAACTTCCTGTGTGCAAATCTCTGTTTCAGAATTTGTTTCCTAGGAAAAGCAACCTCAGATGATGGCTTCATGGGGACAGGGAGGAGAGAGCACAGCTTGGTCCTAGGGGCTGGCATAAACCACTAACTCTAGTGCATTGTATTCAGCTTCATAAGGGAAGCATCACACAATCCTATGGGACTGGAAGAAACAACTTATTCTGCTCGGGGTATAACAGAGGGAGAAATAGGAAAGCTTTCTCAGAAGAGGTGACCATTTGAGCTTCGCTTTGATGAATGGATGAGTAGACATTCTATACACAGAGTAGGGAGTGATGTACTCTGGGCTTGTAAAAGAATGTTGCTTGTTGAAGATGTCACAGAAATCTCAGTGTGGCAGCTAGAAGGCAGAGTGCACGGTGGGGGGTGAGGACAGTGGTGGAGTTGGGTCAGGAGTCAGGCCACAAAACAAAGCACTCTCCTGGTCTTGAAGGGTTTCAAGCTGGAGTGTGCTCTTTCTTCCTCACTCCCCATCCATCAAACATGGAAACCCTATTAAACATACAAAATGTGATTCACATAGACGTATTTGGGAACATTCCTCTTTTACTTATATGCTTGAAGACTTTCTGTTTTCTTCAAAACTATTTTATCAGGCATTTCATTTTAATCTACTTCAGGAAAGCCTAATATTTATAAGAAGAGTGCTTATTTTTGTATGGCTTTAAAATAATCATAAGATTCCACAAAAATCTGCCTCTACAATACGTGAAATTCTATCGTTAGCAATTTCTGGAATTATAAGTGGGAAGACATAGTAAAGGTAATATAGTCCAGATTTCTAACTGATGAACCCCTCTTTCAAAACTCTGATAATGGATTATCTTTCTGATAATGGAAATAGACAATCTTTCCTATTGTTGATATAACACAGAGTAATAAAATCACATAGTTTGAATTGTCATTTTACAGGTGTGAAAACTGAGGCCTAGAAATAAGAAATTATTGACCCAAGGTCATACAGTAGATATTGATAACACCAGAAAGATAATTCATATTTTTCATCTAACAACTTTTCCTCTCCATGCCTACATAATGAATCCCTCAGATCCCTCTCTGAATTACTGGGAGTCAGGAAATTGGGGTATCAATTCCACCTCTGCCCCTCATGAGCTTCAGGACTCAGGTCCAACCACTCAGTTCTCCAGATCTATGTGTGCACCTGTGCAATGAGAGCCTGGATTAGAGGGACTTCCAGCACCCTCCTCCCTGACACTGTGAGTTTCTCTCCTTTCTCTAAGAGCAGGTGTGCCCAAGGGGACAAGTGGGCCAGCTGGGGACAGGAAAGGGAGTTGGCTAGTGAGGGCTAATGTGTCCTCCTCCATCATTTGCTAGCCCAGGATGCCAGTTAACTGCATTCTCAGAACCCTTATTTTCTGATATGGGTGCATTTTGCAATAGGCTGATTTGAGACATATTTTACACTTTTTTCCACGGTAGCCGAAATGTTTTGATTACCTCTCATTTGAATAGAACTTCTATAGACCATAAAGTCTTTCCATAACAACTGACTAAACCTTATATGTTGCTGCTAGTTTTTAGTAAATGAGCTGAATCTTGTAGCCAAGCCTCGGTGCAAACAAAAACATTTTCTGGTCAGGCATTTTCTGGTTGTTCAACTCCATTACAGGGCTGGCTTTAAAAAAAAAAAAAAAGAGTTAAAACCACACAAGAGCAAAACACAAGCTTTGGGAAGACAATTTCCAGCCACATTAGCTCAGATCATCAGGGTAGAAAAGAAGCAGGCCCTCATTCTCCAGACCATCGTCATCTCCAGACTCTCAGCCTATGCTCTTCTGCTATTTTAACTTCACCACTTCAAAATGGGGGAAAAAAATAGGTTAATAGTTTCCATGAGTTTAGACTGTGACCAGAGGCATACTAAGCAATTTCAGAAGCTCAGGCAACCGCAGCTTTGAGGAAAGGATGATGATGGATTTACCAATACATCTTGGGATGGATTCCAGAGTTAAGGGAGTCAGGCCAACACTGTGCTGCCAGGGTGGGATGTAAACAATATTCCTTCATTCATTCTTTTTGCACACATTCATCCCAGGCTTATTTTTATTCCAGACAGTATACAGGGTGCAGTATGGGACAGAGGAAATAAATTCTTAAGGCACAGTTCTTCCCCTTAATGAAATTACAGTCTAGTAAAGGAAACGGACATATGCACAAATAATTTTAATAAAATACACACTGTAAGTATTGCAAGCAAAGTAAATATAGCATTCAGTAATGGGAGACAAAGAAACAGTTAATTCCACATGGGGCCATCAAGGAAGGCTTCACTGGGGAATTGCCTTGTGGTCTGTACCTTGAAAGGTCGGTCAAAATACCAAATTGCAATACATTTAGGCATCAGCCAAGGCAAAGAATTAGGAAAGTGTTTTGTAGGCCTGAAGAAGAGTGAGAAATCTAGGATATTAGAAGCTAAGCCTAGAAAGGAGGGTTGGATACCATATAAGGAATTAGCTCTTTTTATATTATGGAGGAACCATTAAGTTTTTGATATCAGGAAAGGTACTCAGTCACATCTGTGTTTTGGAAAGTACATCAGAAGTCATTTTGGGACAAGGGGAGTATTAAAAGAGAAGAGATGCAAACAAGGAAGCCAATTCAGAGGCCATTGCTATAGGTCAGACATGAGGACACTAGTTACCTACATGCAGGCACTTCTTTCTTCATAGCCCTTCAGAGATACTCCTGGCAAGAGGGCAGTTACTTCTTAATTTCCACATTCCATTCAGTTCTGCATCTTTCTAATGAGATCCACACTCCAGGTTTATGCCTGATTGTAAACTCAGCGAGTCAGTTTAGATATCTCAACTGCAATATAGCGTTTCACATGTAAAACATGGTGGTTTGGTAAGAGTGTGGGATTCTATGGAAGGGTTAACAGCCAATCTTTCAAATTTCTGACTCACTAAAAATGGTCTTTCTTTTAGGCGGTGGTCTGTATTTTTAAAGCTCAGCATATTTTGAAAGCCAGATAAATTGGCTTTCTTAATTCACTTTTCAAAACCAGATCCCTTCTAGGTTCAACATTTCTATCAAGAGTTTACAAACCCTCAACTTGGAAATGGTGTTCGAATCAAGGTTTTAAAGGGTCAGAAGCCTCGTTGATTATGCCGAGCTATGATTGGGGTTGTGCAGCTAGCATGCTGCCTCGGTCATCAGACCACTCTCTAAAAGTTAGGGGCCTTGATGACCCCACTAGGTCTTTGATGATGAATCAAGTTTTAGAAATAATAGTGAAGTATCTTCCAATTAGAGAACCTGGGTAGTATAGTTCAGGAGTCAACAAACTAAAACCATGGGCCAAATCCTGCCCATTGCCTGTTTTTGTAAATAAAGTTTTACTGGATGCCCATTTGTTTACATGCTGTCTCTGGCTGCCTTCGAGTTCCAACAACAATATTGAGTTGTTACAACAAAGCCAGAAATATTTACCATATGGGCCTTTGCAGAAAAGTTTGCCATCACCCCTGCTACAGGAAACAAGGGAAGGAACAAGGGGAGCTGTTGAAAAAGATGCATTGTAAATCCTGGATTGTCCATCTACTACCTGGGTGATCTTAGAAAAGCTACTTGACCCATCGACTTGTGTTTCCTTCTCTCTATAATGCAGAGTACACTCTGCCTTCCTCTGAGTACCATGATGAGCACATGAGCCAATGTGTTTTGTAAAAATGCTTGTCACGCAGCATGGAGCCTCTCAGCCTGACGACGTTATTCTTTCCTTCCTCAGAATACTCTGGAGCGATGCAATGTGTGTTCCAAGCCCATCATGGAGCGGATTCTCCGAGCCACTGGGAAGGCCTATCACCCTCACTGCTTCACCTGCGTGATGTGCCACCGCAGCCTGGATGGGATCCCGTTCACTGTGGATGCTGGTGGCCTCATTCACTGCATTGAGGACTTCCACAAGTAGGCAGCCCCCTCTCCTTCCTCCAGCCTGCCAGTCCTCTCGGAGGTTGTTCTCATCCCCTGGCACTGGGGCCGTACATTCTTCTCTCTCAGGGTTATAGAATCTCAGGATTTAGTGGGACCTTTAAAAAGCAACTTTATCCCATCATCCAAACACAGACATTAACATCAGGTGGTCATCCCACCCAATCTCTGCTTCCCTGGGGCTTGTCCATTGCATCTTTGGGTGGCTCCAGTTATGACAAAGTTGACTCAACTGTAGAGTATTGTATTAGAAAGAGCCAGGATCCTGGCCTAACCCAGAACAAGATATGTGACATTTGGCAAATGGCTCAACTTCTCTGAGCTCTTCACTTTAGTCATTCAAAAACCCTGTCCTAAAGTTCTCTCAGCTGTGACAACTCAGGGTTCTCTCCAAAGCTAACCTCTGCATTCCTGCCACTCGGCATACAGGAGGTCATGGTAGACAGACGCAGAAAACAGTCCAGGCTCTCTTACTAAGGCAAGCCTCACACATATGCCGAGGCAGTCATGCCATTGTCAACACATCCATGTGCTTCCCTAGTCTTTTCTCCCACCCAGGTCTTCTCTTCCTCAGGTGTTTTTCTAATGACAGCATTCATCAATGCAAATTGTGCAATGTTTTGAGGAGGATTAGAAAGTAGAGCCTCAAGATCAAGGCCAGTTATGTCCCCACTTTCTCGTTTCTCTCATTAGTTGGTCCCCCTTTCCTCTGTGACAGGTGGAGTTTCCAAGAAAAGTATACAGTTTTGTATTTTGCTCATTTTGATAGGTCCAGTTGGTTAATTGGTTGATAACATTTGTTACGTATTTCTAAGAACTGTATGAAAGCTATAGATGTGATTTGTGACCAGTAGGCTCAAAGGTTTTCTGGCTTGTGTTTGTGGGCAGTGGCTTTGAGGACAGCCTCTGAGGCTGTCAAGGAGATGAAGCTCCTGTTGCTCACCCCTGTGGGTACCTGTTCTATGGCCTCCAGATGTATGGTCTCGCGGGTTAATCTTCACCTCTCTGTTGATTGTCAATAACCAGGAAGTACTTGCCACAAGCAGTTTGGGGATATGGGACTCACATTTTAAAAATAAAATTCCTGGCCACTTTCAAACCAGCAAAGAAAGTGAAAACCTCTCTAAAAGACATGAGATTGAATGAATTTTAAAAGACCCAGAAGCAGAAATTTTCAACCTGAATTAGACAAGGAAGCGCTCACTTTTAAAGAGCGGTCACAGCATAAATTGTACTTCACATTATTGATATTTTAACTTGTAATTACACATGAAGAAAAGAAAAAGAAAAAAACCCTGTCTCTATTTAAGGGAAGTGAAAAGATACCAGTGGGAAGTAGGTTCTGTCACTGTTTCTCTCCTTACCCTAATCCAAGAAAGACAGATAGATATAATCAGAGCACACATGTTTCTTTTGCTGGAAAAGACTGATATATTACACCCCTCAATTAAAACAGGAAATCAATTCTGACAAATGTAAGTTTATATCTGTGCCATTTATCTTTCATTTCTAGGAGTGGGGAGCATAATTAGAGATTTGAGACTTGTGACATAAGTGTGCGGGTCTGAAAGCTCCAAAAAAGCATACTTGAGCAACTAAAAGGAAAAAAAAAAATAACCCCCCTGCTACCCCCATCCCTAGTTCAATGCATGTTAAAACATAAAATTATTCTTTAAGAATGATGTCTTCATGATTGGCAGTTATATATGGAGAGAAGCTTCTTGATCTTTTCCCATTTCTCAAAAGAAAATAAGAGAATGTTTTGTAGAACTCATATTTCTGAGCCTTAAAATTACTAGAACACAAAGCAGCTAAAAGGTCCAGCACAGGATGGGTTCTGCAAGGCCAAGGAGTGGGTAGCTAAAAGGATACAGCCTTTTTCTCTACTCGGATTTTTAGGGTTTTGTTTTTGGTCATTCTGAATAGGTCTCCCTTTGTGGGCTTTTAGGAAATCTATTTCACATCAATGCAACTGGCACTTATAAAGAACCCTCTGCGCCAGGCGCAGTGGCTCACGCCTGTAATCCTAACACTCTGGGAGGCCGAGGCGGGCAGATCGCTTAAGGTCAGGAGTTTGAGACCAGCCTGAGCAAGAGCGAGGCCTGTCTCTACTAAAAATAGAAAGAAATTAATTGGCCAAATAAAAATATAGAGAGAGAAAAAATTAGCCAGGCATGGTGGTGCATGCCTGTAGTCCCAGCTACTCAGGAGGCTGAGGCAGAAGGATCGCTTGAGCCCAGGAGTTGGAGGTGGCTGTGAGCTGTGATGATGCCATGGCACTCTAGCCCGGGCAACAGAGTGAGACTCTGTCTAAAAAAAAACAAAAACAAAAAAAAAACCCTCTGTGTGCCAGTTACTGTGCTATGTATCGAAGAAGAGAGATACAAGGAGAGAAATTGCACAGATATAGAGAAGTCTCTGTCAGCAAGTAGCTTGCCAGGCGGAGGGCAGAGAAAATGTGCAGACATAAGGCAAAAGGGGCTGAGGGCCATGAGGTTGGCACAGGTAAGGTCTTGGTCACTTGGCTCTGCGATCAGGGTAGGCTTCGTGGAAGGAGAATTTGGAGAGTATTTTTAGTGTGAAATAAGGAGATTCCTGGCAGAGGAAACAAATTAGCCAAAGAGCAAGGGCTCAGAGTAGGACAGGGTTCTTCTATTCCAGGAAGGTTTGCTTTGCTGTAACTAGGGCAGCCTGGGAGTGCAGGTCACCTGAAGTTACAGGAGACCCATGAGAAGGGATTTATCTCACCTGCTTAGTCAATCTTTTAAACCACTACTTCCCAAACTTTACCGTGCCTACAATTCACTGAGGCATCTTGTTAAACTTCATATTCTAATTCAGGTCTGGGGTAGGGCCTGAGAATTCTGTATTTCTGACAAGCTCTCAGGTGGTCTTAGACTGCACTTGGAGTAACAAGCTTCTGAAATAATATGTTTGAGGCCTCATTAATGGGCCATCCCCTACATCAGCAGTCCCCAACCCTTTTGGCATCAGGGACCCTTTTCATGGAAGACAATTTTTCTGTGGACTGGGGAGGTGGGAGATGGTTTCAGGATGACTCAAACACATTACATTTATTGTGCACTTTATTTCTATTATTATTACATTGTAATATATAATGAAATAAGTATATGACTCACCATAGGTTGGGGATCCCTGCCCTGCACAACCCCCTTTTTCAAAGTTGGTGCACAGCCTCCAGCCTATTGGACGCGAACTCCTTCACAGATGCCATTTCAGACGACTGCTGCAAACTCGGTTCCCTGCAGCCTGACTGTCCCCCGCCCCAACACACACATGCACACTTTCCCACTTCACCTTGATGGCTGTTTTTAAAGACCCAACTCAATTACATTTCCTCGAAGAATACTTCTCTGATCTCAATTCCTCCCTATTCCCATGTTTGAATGTGCATCTCTTTCTCTGTGTTTGTGTTTTATACACTCTTGTAAATCTGCCGTCGATAGCACTCACCGCCGTCTGAACTCCTTCTCAGTCTGTGCTGGAGTCCCTGCTTATTCTTGTATTCCCAGTGCCAGCACAGTGAGAAAGCCCAGAAAAGCGGGTTTACTTACCTAACTCTTTCAGTGTGTTGAGGCTTTATTCCACTATCTGTACTTTCTTATCAGGGATGTTACCCTCATTCGTTTGTTTAATCACCATTCATTTGTTGATTGCCAGAAACGTGCCAGGATACAAGTTGACTAAGGTGATCCCTCTCTGAATGTTGGCTCTCTTGGCTGTAAAGTAGAAACGATAAAAGTATGTCCCCGTAATGTTGCTGTCAGTAGAAAATAACGTCAAGGGTGTAAAGCGCTTATCGGGGCTTGGCACATAATAAGCACTCAATAAATGGTGGTTTTAATCATCAAAAGTGTTTTTATCAAATTTATGCGCATTATTATTGTCCGCTTAGTAAATTAAGCCTTGAAAAAGACCACCTGTGACTTTGAACCCTCCTTGAATTTCTGTCCTAGGAACACCGTGGAGACTGTGGAAGCACCTCTTGTCTCTTCACTTTGCTTTTTCCCATCATGGAAATGAGGCTGATTGGTAGGAAAAAATCATTACTCAGCAAGAATACAGTTTGTCTTTTCAAAAGGGAAGAACCTTGAAATTGAACATAAAGTCCAAGTAATATCTTTTTTAATAGAGAAATATAGCAGATACTTCCCTTCCTTAAATATAGCCCAAATTTCTTCTGTACCAGTTATGGTGGTTGTTTCTGGAGTCTCAGAGATAGAGCAAAGTCCTATCCTTTGGAAGCTTATGGTTTAACAGTTCACTGAAACTCCAAACACATGCAAATGATTGTTACCAAAATAGGAAAATTCAATGAAAAAAATTTTATCCCAGAGGAGTAAGTCATTCTACTTGGGCAAATTGGGGAATACTTACCGATACATTGATAAGCAAAACATACTTCTGCACACACAGAGTATGGGGAAACTCTGTGAGAACCATTGATCCCAGAAGCCTGCTTATGACCCAGATTTAAAAATAATCAGGTGGTCCAAAGCAATTTTTTGCCACTGAATATAAACTTCTTGCATAAAATACCAATTATAGCAACTCTGATTACTGCTGCAGTGGTACCATGATCCTTTTAATTTTTCTTTCATAGCAATCAATTTATCTGCTGCTTAATTCATATTTATTTAGATTGCAGCCATACAGATGCCTTTTGGGTGCTGCCAGGAAAATTAATATGTACATATAGAGTATAATGTATGTAAAAATGCTTTGACAACCATAAAGTACTCTACAAAGTATTAGATTACTATCATTATTTCTTTTTAAGTCTCACTACAAATAGATAAATTTTAACATCATTAATCTTAAAACCATTACCATGAAAAAAACCAAGTGGCAGAGTCTGTTCTTTTTAATCTCTTCATTTCTTATCCATGTCCATTTCAAATCATGTCTCACTTGGCACCTTCACAGTACCACCTCTAATTTCCAGAAGATACAAATGGAGACAGGACCTATATATGTGGCCCATTAATCTGTCATGAGAAAAAAAAAAAGATTAGGGACCATCGATCATATTGAGAAATGCTAAGAAATTAAGAAATATTATAATTCTTTACCAGCAGCCTGAAAAACATATGCAGATGTGTATGTATGTGTTCATATACACCATCTAACAGTGCTAAAATTCTTTAAAGAATAAAGAACTTGATAGCTCTTTTACTTTTCGTTTCTGTTTAACACAACAAAAGCATAGGAAATCCAGACTTGGCCACTATAACTTTGGTGTAATGTGTATTTAAACTCACTAACCTCTGCCCCTTTAAAAAGCTATGTATTTCCTGTCAGTTCCTAGAATTCAAGACACACTTCCAAGAAAGAGGCTCTAAAAAGTGAAAGCAAGGCAACCTCAGAATTTTTGCCTAGGACCTGAAGAATGCACACAAACGCCTAGCAGCAAAAGTCAGAAACTAGTAGGAGTGGGATAGACCTTTGTTCTCCCCTCTGGCCAGCTACACGGAAGCCCTGGGGTTTGTATTCAGAATCTATCCAAAGGTGAAGTCTGTATACCACAGCCCGTGTGATAAAAAGCTCCTAGATGCTCTTTGTTCCTAAGCAGTTCACACGCTCACCGTCACCTTGCCAAATAGCACGTTTACCATCTAGAGCAGTGGTCCCCACCCTTTTTGGCACCAGGGACCGGTTTCATGGAAGACAGTTTTTCCACAGATGGGAGGGAGGGGAGATGGGGGAGCTCTGTGTCCTGGTCCCTAACTGACCATGATGGATGGGGAAGAGGAGGGGATGAAGGGGGGGAGGGGGACTGCAGATCTAGAGAACCTCACAGCCCACAGTCTAACTCCCTCATTTTACAGATGAGGAAGCAGATCCCCTGACTCCTGGTTTCAACCTTTCCTTTTTACCTCTGTGTCTCCCCTCTTCATGGGTACTTATGCTCAGTATCTAACCAGCACTCTCTCTCCATTTTCAGGAAATTTGCCCCCCGATGTTCTGTGTGCAAGGAGCCTATCATGCCAGCCCCTGGCCAGGAGGAGACTGTCCGTATCGTGGCCCTGGATCGCGATTTCCATGTTCAATGCTACCGGTGTGAGGTCTGGTCGAGGCCCCTGCCCTGCCCAGTCTATGGCAGGCACTGAACTGCCTATTAATGCTTGGTTTTCATGAACATAGCAATTTTTAAATATGAAAAGGACCTGAGTACCTGTGGTCATAGGACCTGAGTTTTAGATTTGACATTGGCGTTTTATGTAAGTGACATTGGATGAGTCACTTTACCTGTCTCAGTCTCACCTGTAAAAAAAGATTCAAATTCTTAACTCCCCCAAATATGGGTATGGGACTAAAATACAAAATTGCATATTAAAGGACATTGTGAATTGTAAACTGCTAAGTTAGTGAGAAATGGTATCATTATTATCCTGAACCTTTAAGTTTGACTCTGGTACTTTGGTTAACTACTCCCATGGGGCAGAGACCCCATTGTCACCACTGAGAAGGATAGGAATTCATTCATTTCAGAGCAGTTAGAATTTCTTGTTCAAAGTCATGGAGATTAATTTATTGACTAGTAAGCACTGACTGAGTGCCAAAAACAAGGGGTCCGATGGCTGCTAAGCACTACAGGAGAGGCACGCACAAGGTGCTATCAGAATATGCCAAACAGACCTGCAATCCAGGCTGGAAGTGACAAGGAACGCTTCTCAGAGGAAGTCGGCTAAAACTTAAGGGACATGCTGCCCTTAAGACAAAGGAAAGCAAGTCTTTCCCCCTACAATTTGGGTATCAAAAGGGTACCACATTCAGGTAGTGATTTTAAAATGTTTTCTTATCTTGGTTCTGTAAATTGCCCAACCCCCTCCTTTTAAGTAGTTTTCTTGCAGCTCTTAGGAGTATAGTACTTTTCAACCTCTTTGTCTATCCACAAGGGATAATATGGACTTCCTTATGCCCACCTCCTCACGAGACTGGTCTAGGAGACCTTCCCAGGACACAGGCTGGCAGGACTGCGAGGGCCACCCTGGCTCTCTGAGACTACATCCATTTCGTTCACTGCCTTAGCTATAATCGACCATCTGTTTTATGTAGTGTGCTTTGTTTTGCCCTAGAGCCCAAGTTGCATGCCTCTCTCTGGCCTCTCTCTTAACATAAGAACAGATAATAAAAATTAACCAGCTTTTACCCAGGGTTTTATGACTAGGGAAGCAAAGAGAACAATGTCCAGTCATCATCTTTAAAATGACCCAAATAGTAAGTGTGTAAAGAGCTGATAGATATTTTAGAGATTTTACTGATGGAGAAACTAAGGCTTAAAGAAGAAAGGCTCCCAACATTCCTCACATGCTTGATATTACATACCAATACCAGGAGGCTCGGACTTTTAATGGTTTTGGCTTCTGTGCTAAGAGTTGCAGCAAATGTGCCTTCCTTCCTCCTGAATTAAACGGGAGCTGCACAAATTAGGTTTGCTTTAAAATGCTGAGAATTTTTTTGAGAAACAAAACTATGAAACGGGAAAAACACTGAATTAGAAGAGAACAGACCACTGTTCTAGTGCTGCTATGGACTCTGTAGACACTGCAAAGATCACTTCCCTCCCTGTTCCTCCCCTGCCCCCCTTGAGGAGAGGGGCAGCAGTTGTACCCTACTGGCAAGGTTCCTTTTCCCTCTTAACATTCATGGCCTTGATGGTTCCAGTGCTGTGGGTAACTCTGAGCTCCAGAGGTCCAGATGACTATAGAGATTCACTCATTAAAGCCTTAAAACTATACTATGAAATATCCTTCCTTTTTTTTTTATTGTGATGAAGATCTTTTGTTTAGTTCCATTGCTCAGTTACCCAAATTGTTCTAGAGCTGCAGTATAGCTGCAGGTTCTTTTTGGTAAAGCCAAACTTTCTGTGGAGCATAACCATTGCTGCTGTTGTCTTCTGGGCAATGCCGTGTTCGAATTTCAATTTCATTATATGTCCAATGCAGACACGTGTTTCCCTGACCTCCTTGCCACCGTGGAAGACAGCAGAGGTGAGGTTAGCAGCAGGTGTGGCCTTTTAGAATTTGTACTAAAGTTAGCAAGGACGCACACCACAAGATGAAGTACTGTATATTTATTTTCCAAAGAAACTTCCAAAGACAATGGCCAGCATTTAACTGTTATATAACACTTTCCGAAATGGACCCTCAGAAGCACTGTCAACAGTAGTATAATCCTTTACAGTTACGCAATTCTTTGCATTTTTTCAAAGTACACTCACATCCATATTATCCTCTTTGATCTTCCCAACAGCTTGGTAAAGTAGAAAATACAGGAATTATTTTCAGAGTGGCAGTCAGCCTGTGTGCAGTGATACAGGCAGTATCAAACTAAGGGTGGTGCTCAGGGGACCTGTCTCCCAGTCTAGAACTTATTACTCCATGATATCTCCTTTAGAAAGTACAGCAAACCATTGTTCCCCACAGACTTTAGGATTTTTAATGTCTTAACTACAACTGGAGTAAATATGTAGCACCCTTTGGTGAGTTTTCTGCTTGGCAGAAATCACTCTACCCAGAAATGGCCAAAAAATTCCATTCCTGCACCTGTACATTCCTTCTGAGAGATCCATAAACTAATGATAGAGGGTAAAGATGAATTAGCAGTTAGGAACCTATTCTTATTTTCTCTCCTTGTTGTAGTTTGGGTGGGAAAGCAAACCACTACGTGGGAGCCTAGACTTGTGGACTCTCCTCTTCCTGTACCTGTATTTCATTACAAGTAACCTTAGGGAGGTCATTTTACTCCATTTGTATTTGTGTCCCCAATCTCTAATTCAGTTTAATTCAAGATATACTATGAATATGTTATATAGTAGGAGAAGGGATACAGGGGTTGGCAGAATATGAGCAGGAAAGATAGTGGGCATATATAACCACTAGAATAGAAAGCTAAAGAATTTGGTCTTCATATATGTACTTTACATATTCACTTACATTGTTTCCATCTGTCTTCTTTTCTCTAGGATTGTGGTGGCCTCCTGTCTGAAGGAGACAACCAAGGCTGCTACCCACTGGATGGACACATCCTTTGCAAGACCTGCAATTCTGCCCGCATCAGGGTGTTGACCGCCAAGGCGAGCACTGACCTTTAGATTCAGTCACCTGTTTAGCTAGTTAGTGGATGGTGCTGAGAAGAATGAAACACAAGAAAAAGCTAAGAAAAGAAATAGTAAAATAGAGGAAAGGCAATCAAATTGTGGGATGGTCTTGGTTCTTCATCTGCTATTAATCTTTAATTAGAAACACAAATTATCAGGTTGTTTTTTTTTTAAGTTCTTACCAAATACACATTTCACATTTAATCATGTAGGACCTTGATGGGCCTTTGTTCCCAAGGACTTCCACATTTTTGCACAGATTATGCTCCATCCCATTCACTTCTGCATTCCTGTAACTTTTAATCCCTATGTTTGTCTCACTTTTCATCTGGTTGAATGGCTTTTTTTAGTGTGGTATTTGCTGTCACACAGTTTTTCCTGGGTGAGTCTGCCAGCTCACAGGTGCTTTTAGGCTTGATGTCTCCATCCTATCATTTCCACATTGCCTGTGATCATAAAGGGTAGCCATTCTTTTGCTATGTATTGAAACTATATTTTTCTATTGCTCTATACCACTCATACCCCTTGGGGGAAAAGTACATGATTTTGTGTTAGGCTATAAAGAATTTAAAAGTTGTAAATTGCATAAGATAAAATAAGCCCCAATTTAATTTGTAACCATCCAAATTCACAGTCTGTAGTGACCAGTGGTCAAGGCTCATTTGAAAATATTTATTGGCCTATGGCTAATAAGTGGTGAAAGAGAACCAAGATTTAATCTTTTTTGAAGAAATTATAAGTGGAATATGCTGAAAAAAGCATTTTGGGGTATGTTTAAAAAGTCCATTATTATGTCACAACATTACCTTAAGATTTTCATCTTCCACACTAACTTGACATCATAATACAAATTTGATTTCCTCTAGAATATAACATTTCCAATATAGTCCCACTTTTCATCTTAGAAATATTGTCATTTTTTTCCTAATAGTCAATACAAGTATCAAAATTAACTTTTTCTCTAGAGGAAGATAGCTATAAAAAAGAGTTCAAAATCTATTCTTTTATTTTCTTTTCCCCAGGCCCAAGTCCTTTTTGCCTGACAATTGTACATCAGGGCATATAAAATAAATTGTGCAGTTTTGTTTAGTTTACTTATAAAAGAGAGGAAAGCTTAAAAAGATTGTGAAACCACAGTTTCATTATTCTCATAATCCTTCTGCAACTCAAATTACATATTGCAGGAGACATTTTCATATCATCGATGTGACATTTATACCACACTTTCAAAGACAATCACTAAAAAAAAAATTGTCTTTCTGGAGCTAAAAATATGCAGAGTCTCTGCCTAGAATCTTTATTCAGATTCTTTATTAGCCAGTGAAACACTTGCTTGCCAACTGTAGAACCATACTTATTAAGTTCTAACATGTTGCATTTAAGGAGAGACACCTAGCTTAGTAGTGGCAAGTTGCCATTTTATAAACTAATTAAGTATTTTGGATTGAGATTTTTTTAAACCTTTCTTCAAATCTTCTACAAACATATACTTTTAAATTATGGAGTATTTTAAATATACAAAAAATTATAAATAATATAATGAATCCCTGTATACCTAGCAGTCATTTTAAGAAATCAGATATAACAAATGTAATTCCATCATCCTGTGTACCTTTCCCTTATTCCATGAATATCTTTTTCTTGATTATGAAGTAATAGTTTCCTAGTCTGATTTTTTTAAATTTTAACATCCCAAACAAAAAATGAAAAATTATTGGTATATGTTTTAAATCATAACCTATACCTCAGGAATTCCAATTAAATTTATTTTACTTGAATAGGGATAATCATAAAAGTGATTCTTTTTTTTTTAAAAAGAAATTCTTATGCCTATGGTCACTACAGCTCATGTAAATTAATCTGTAGATCATTTGCTTTTGTCACTAGTTTTATGTTAGAACCACCAACCTTATAGATTATAAGAGCCTCTTTTGACCACTGTCTTTTTCTTACCTTGCTTCTCTTACCTTTGATCTTATATTTCTCATAATGTGAAACATAATTACATTCACTTAGGGTCAGCATGTGAGTTTTAGGATACAATAGCAACTGTGTCTCTGAATTCCAGTCTTCCAACTTAAAGGCCACATCATGCTGATGACCTCAAAAACACTGACTATTACACAATAGAGGTGATAATATAATCTGAATTGATTCAGTAACATGTTTTCTATGAAATGCTTGGAGAAAATTCTCTTTAATCCAAAGCAAAGAGTCCAATTTATTGAGGGATAGATTTTTATCTCATAAAGTGATCATATTATTATAAATTTTGCCAAAAGAAGAATTTATGAAATATTTATACTATAAAAATACAATAGCATTCTACTTGCTTGTTACATTTAATTCCTCATGTAACTGAATGTTTACATGCCAAAAGAAAAAATTATAAGAAAATGCTGTCACAAACCCATCACTGTGGCATTGCCAGCAGAATACTGCTTGCTTCCAGTCTTTATAGTGCATTCTTATCACATAACCTCAGAGTATCTTTACCAAAGATTTTTAAAGTGAATCTCTTTTTAATATAGACTTATACATTTATAATAATGAATGTGCACACATACATATGCAGAAATATTTAGATTTAGATTTTTTCCTTTCATAAGATATAATAAAGGATCCTACCATATTTTATTCCAAGATTTCTTGAATATATGATTTATATTGCTTTCTTGTCTTTTCTATTAATCATTTGATCTAAACAATGCCAAGTCACTCTTTACTGTTTTAGTTACATGAAATTTTGCCTGTAACAGAGATATAAAGATCATATCACCTTCATGATTATAATCATACTGTCTTTTGATATATTGTACTATCATTTAAATACACAAGTAATAGAAAAACCTCATAAAGTTTATAACAAAGTTTGTAAAAAACATACTGGTTTTAAAAAATTGTCAAGAATATAAATATTTGGTATTCTGTGTAACAAGACATGGAAAAGGAAGAAAACCCACTAGGTCATGGGCTCTGCAGACCATTTCAAAATAAGATTTATTAATTGTTGGGGTCCTCAGATCATGCCGATTGAACGTGGAGTCTCATTGGCAAACAAAATTGCCTTTAAAACTCAAAAATAAGTCATGTGTCCCAACACAAGACATTAGGTTGTGAGATGCTGACATATCTGCAGCTCATAGTTGTGGGTTCTTTTTCTTGCCATTGTTGTTTCTGTAGGCGTAACTTCTCTGATCAAAATGACTTTATTGGATGTATGCTGATTAATGAGGTGGACTTATCAACACCATCATTGTTTTCTGTGAAAGATTCTGCAAAGATGTTTATGGTGAGGTTTAAAGGATATAAAACTCTAACTACAGTTAAACAACTCTTTTATATTTGGGTCCAGAGGAAGAAAGAGAGTGCTTTTTCCATGGGGCTTTAGTAGAGTTCACAGAATATAACAGGACTCTAAAAACACAACTTCCAAACATTTTCCTAGTTAGTACAAATCCTATTAATGTGAACCAGCCGGGAATAACAGTGTTATTTCTATTTGATATGGTTTGGGCTTCTCTTGTCAAATCTTTGTCAGCTGTCCCCTGATCCCTCCATTATCGTGTTTTGAAGGGTGTTGGGGAAATTATGGCAGCTGCTAGGGAGATCAGGGAAACACTGATATAACCTCACAGCCCCTCGCCATTCCTCTTGGCTTGAAAAGGCCTTATTTTTTCATATACATTTCTAGAAATATTGCTATTCTACCTTAGTATTTCACATTTGTAGTTTAAACAAGCGATTGTCCATCTGTTGCCTAGAGCTATAGTACATGTGTGTTATGAATGAAATATGACAGCATGTTCCATACCCCTGCTTTAGCCATCTGTAGGAAACCAGCAAACTGAAAAAGATATACCTCTACAAAATGTGCCTCAAGTCCATTTCTTGGGATCACTCATTTGATGCACGCTCATGGCAGACAACCAGAGAGCAGCATATATTTGTGCCTTATTTTCAAAGAATCTATTTATACTTCTATGAATATTTTACTGAAGAGTCAATAATATAAATAATAACCCCCAAATCTCAAAGATATTCTCATCAAGAAGTTAAACAAAACCCAGAGAAGTCTGAACTTTCCATCTTAATATATTCTAACGGTATTTCTTTTCTCCTTGTCTTGGGAGTATCTCATAGGTCCCTAAAGTTAGTAAAGCATTCTTATGCCAGAAGGTGATATATTGGATGTTGTTAGTGTTTATGATTTGATCTTCCTCTGGTTGTAGTCTTATAATGAAGACAGAGACTTCAACTTGAGCTTTTAACACCCATGCTGCATATCAATTTTTTAATTGCCTTAGTTTTATTTGTTTGTTTAACAATAGAATAAGTTGGACATTCTGGTTCTGAGTGAGGAATCAATATGGGGCAGCCATAAACATTTCAGGCCAAGTTATTTACTTGATAGGTAACAAGGATGAAACTTTTCTCATGAGGCTGTTGTTGAGTTAGCATAGCTTTATTTCAAACATGTAGAAAGTTATCTGAGACTGGGACTTAGGATTTTTCCTCTCTTTCTCTCTCTCTCCCTTCCTTTCTCCCTGCTTCTTCCTTCTTTTCTTACCTTCTTCTCTACTTTCCTTACTTCCTTCATTTATTCTCTCCATCCTACTTATTAATGCTGTGGTGCTTGGACTTTTTACAAATTAAATAGATGCATTGTGAACTTCATGGGATTATGGTCATACTAAAGTGGGGGTTACCAAAAAATATTTGTGGCATCCTTAAATGTCTAAATCTTCCTTTAAAAGGGCATATTTTTCAGGTTGTGTTTATTCAGAAAATGAAGTGAGATCATAGTCTTTCCGTTTTATTTTAATAAATTTTCACTAGGACTCAGATCATAGATTTTTGGCAAATTCAGTTATGACTGATATAGTTTTCTCAGCTATATGCAAAGTGATTTTTCTAAGGCCAGGTTAAGATTTTTTAAAATAAAGCGTTTTGACCACAAAACAACCATATTTTTCACGGTGGCATATTATTTTATTCCATTGGAACTTGACTGTTTTCTTTATGACAAGGAAAAACTATTATAATATATTTCTAGAATTTTAACACAAATTAGCACTTAGCCCATGGTAATAATATGAAATCCTAATAGTTGAATCAATAGGTCAGCAATAGGTCAGCACCAGAGTTTTTCTTAGAACCCAGATTGCAGGAATATTTTCCCTTCAATACAGAAAAGAAAGACACTAATTCCTTTCTTTACTTCCCCGGTTCATGTGCAAAAAGTTGTATACTCTAATTTAGTTACAACATGCTTGTGCCTTATTCTATGGAGAGAGATGAATTTTTATTCAACTGATTGACCTTTTCCCCTTGACATTACAATTTATTTCTGATTGTTATTTACAGCAGTATCTAACCACACTAATAAATATCTTTATTTTTAGTCTTTGTTAAAAATAAAAATTAACATTCTACAAACACTTATATATACTGGAGGGGGGGGCAGGGGAGGACTCTGCAGCTAGTTCCTTTGCAATACTTCAGGATGCCTGAGTTAAGCCTTCCCTGATATATGGCTTTGTAAATTTTTCTAAGATATTCATCCACTTATGGCCAAAAGAAGGCTTTGTTCATTTAACTTGGGTAGACATTTACCTCACATACCAAAACAGAAACCTTATTCAACAGGCACTAATGTATTCAACTTGACACTGAATGTGCCATCTAAATTCAGTTCTCAACCCTAGGAGTAGAATGTTCTACCAAGAATGAGACAGGAGACATCATGTCCTCTTATGTTCTATACCAGTGTAGAGAGTTATAGTTGACCCCAAACACTAGTAATATTCCTAGATAAATATAGAATCATGGGCATTTTTAAAGCTCTAAATCTCCTCTGTTGTTATTTTCCTGACAAATTATCATCCCAAATGTTCTTAATCTTCTCCTGTATGTAGTTCTGCTCACAGCATTCAATTCTAGCTCTATAACTACATAAAACAAGTATAATGTCTAAATCTTTTTTTTTGTTTGTTTTTTTGAGACAGAGTCTCACTTTGTTGCCCAAGCTAGAGTGAGTGCCGTGGCATCAGCCTAGCTCACAGCAACCTCAAACTCCTGGGCTCAAGCAATCCTTCTGCCTCAGCCTCCCAAGTAGCTGGGACTACAGGCATGCGCCACCATGCCTGGCTAATTTTTTTCAATATATATTAGTTGGCCAATTAATTTCTTTCTATTTATAGTAGAGACGGGGTCTCGCTCTTGCTCAGGCTGGTTTCGCACTCCTGACCTCGAGCAATGCGCCCGCCTCGGCCTCCCAGAGTGCTAGGATTACAGGCATGAGCCCCTGCGCCCGGCCTAATGTCTAAATCTTTGCCTCTTTAGGTCTGGTATCATCAGCTCTTTCAACCTTCCTTCATTTATTGACTCACTGTCAAGTCCCATCATTTTTTTGCTTCTTCATTGAACAGTAGACCCAAAAATATTTTCTAATTTTCAGTCTCTCAATGAAACTTAGCAATCACTTTGAGTCAGGCTAGGTGAAAACACTTTCTTTAGGGTTGAAAGTAAATGGAATTGAAGTCACCTAAAGGAAATTTCCTCCAAGGACTCATACCCAGAAGGGTGAAAGCTGGATAAGAACACGTCTCCCAAGTGTGCAGACAGTCTTCTTCCTTTGTGTTCTGTACTGTTTTTGATGTTGCCAAAATCAATGTCATTCTTAAAACAGTATGTAAGTCAATGCATATGCCACCCAGGAGATTCCCACTTCTTGTGTCAATTTGTAGTCTATTCAGCCTTTTCTCTTTATCCTTGTTTTCTCAAAAATAGGATTCATCCTGTCCATGTTTCCATACTGAGTTTGGGAAAGGAATTCTGGACACATTACAGGTTGATTGATTTTAAGATTCACTTCCATTCATTCTGTGCTCAACTATTTGTGCCTAAGGGTGTTGCACTTTAGATCAAGTAAGCATCTTCCCTGTGTGATCGATTAGGTACTATCCTTAGAAGTCCATATTTTCTCTTTCTTTTTGTCCTCCCAAGATCCTTATCCCTTACTCATCTCCTCAGTTTAATAATGACCAACTAATCACTGTAAGAGAATCAACCCTAAGTAACTGATTCAGGACAACTATAATAAAATCAAACAGGTTCAGTCTGTACTTACTCTGTAGGAAGGAATATGACATCAGGAAGAGTAGTTTTTCCCAATGGCATCAACAAGGCTTCATGGAGGGCATGAAATTTGATAAGAAATCTTGAGCTGATTCATTGACTTGATTTAGAAGTTGAGGAAAACACAGGCTATTTTCAAAGAACACATTCTGTGTTGGCTAAAATATCACAGATTCTGGAATTTCCTCCTTAATAGGAGAAACAGCTTTCAGATATTAATATTTAGGGTCAATGGCAAGGAAAAGGCATAGATGAAGGCTAAATTGTTACTTGCTCTTCCATCTCTTTATAATCATTTTGTTCAATGCTCCTCCATCTTTAAAACAGAACCAAACTTTGGGGCTTATCTTCTCTTTGGTGCCATGCAAAACTACCTTGTAGTACATAATAAAATGTTGCTTTTCTCCCTTCTCCCTCCATTTTCCTTCCATATATATTTAGTTTGTTTTGGGGAAATACATTACTTAAAAAAAAAAAAAACAGCTTTGACTTCTAGCTCAAGATTATAAAAATCTTTAAATGTCTCTAAAAGTAGTCTGAAAGATTTTCTGAGTGTCAGACATTAGAGTTTATGAGTTTTTTGTTGTTGGTTGTACTTTCTTATTCAGAAGACAAATTGTTCTGACAGTTGTTATATAGTTTCATGCCTTCCCCCAGTAACTAACCCATGAACTGTACTCTCCATTTATCTGAGGTGCTGAGACTGACCTTAAAAATGTTGGGAAATGACAGAGTATAATCTCCAGTTCTAACGAGGAAAAAGTCAAAAGCAAAAGATAGTCGTACTTTAAAAACTCATTAATTCTGGTCAGTTTTGGAATGCAAAGGATATCATTCTTGAAGGAAAGAGTTATGGTATGCTATAGTTTTTATGTAGAAATGTATACATTCTTTCATTATTGCCCTGGACTACTACTGAGTATTCCTTAATTTCGGGGAGGACAATGATTGTGGCTTTTTCTACCCCAGCTTTGAATTAAAGAGCCATCTATGCAGAACCTGCCATCATCTCCTGGGAAGGACCTGGGGGTGGCTTTCTGAGCTCTAAAATAATAATTACTATAAGAGAGCTTACAAACTGCTTTCACACAGAAGGCAGACCTGAGAGGAAGGTTATTAATTAGCCCTATCCTAGAAGAGAAAAGGAGGCTCAGAATTGTTAAGTGATTTGCCCAAAGCAATACAGCTGTTAAGTGGCAGATCTGGAGACATACCCATTTCTCTTGCAAGTCCAGTACTCTCTCCAGGTAGCCACTGTCAGGGCCGAAATACCCCCGAGGACAGTATATGATTCTCACAGGCTACTGGGCCCCCAGCCCTGTTGAAAGGCATCCAGGAAAATTCATGTAGACCATGTGGCTGAGTGGCAAATCCACTTGTGTACCGTGGTGTTTGAGATCATTGAGAGCTTGCACGTATCGCTGTCACCTTGTGGGAAACCACCAGGTATCCTGTCTGATAGGTACTGTGATGAAGTTGGTGGTGAAAGGCCACCAACGAGAACAAACAAACTGGCACTGTGAAACACATTGCAGAAAATTTCCCCAGAGAGACTTGGTTTATATTACATTAACTGAACACCTCTCTAGAACTGTCAGGTTCAGAATATCAACTGAGACCATATCATTTGGAATTCACTGGCATGCAGAGGTGACTTGATCTTAAGAGAAACCTCTCTCCTATGGGCCACAATGTTTGTTCCGCAGAAGCAGAAATTGCTGAAGGTAAACAATGCATATTAGTCTTTCTCTCAGTTCACATTTACTAAAAGCACACCAAGTATAAGTTGCTGCAACTGGCATTTCTAATCCAACCAACCCATGACCTAGAAATGTCTGTGAGCAAATGCTATGGGACTGATGGCATTTCTGAAATTTGGTCTTTGCCATTTGATAGACTGGGCTTCCCCGGCTGCT